GGAAAGAGGTGTGTCTCAAGCCTCCAGGTCCAGGACTTGAACCATGTAGTCAGCTATGTGGGGTCTGGTTGCCTTAACCACAGCCATGGAGTCAGCACAGTCCCACTTCTTTTTTTCACCACTTTTTAATTTTCAAAAGTATGGTTATCTTTATTAAAAATCATTCATATTGATACACAATGGATTTATTGTTCATTAAATGAATTTGTAAGTAAATGTTTAAAAATATTTTCCATTATAATTTCTGGTGCAATAAATATTTATAGCTATTGATATAATTCACATAAACAAAAGGTTTTGGGGTCCTCAGTAATTTTTTTGATATTATTTTTGTCATAGGGCATGTGCACTCACCAGAGAGAGACAGAAATAGAGAGAGGGATAGTGACCGATCACCCCTCAAGTGATGCTGCAATTCCTTCTCCTCCATTTTCCTCTTGGGATTCTGGAAACACACACATTTGCACAGCATGTTTTTCTAGTTGCTGGGTCTGGGACTTGAACTACAGAGTCGGCCATGTGGGATCCAGTGTCTTAACCACAACAGTACCTGCTAACCCCCTCAATAACTTCTAAGAGTATAAAGGGGTCTTGAGGTAAAAAGTTTGAGAACCCCTACTCAAGGTTTTTAAGAGTGGTATTTTATTCTATATTTTACTTAAAAGGTAATTCAGATTCTTTGTCTTTGTTGTGACAAATCGGAATTGTGTGCATGTAGGATACAAAGATGATACATTCTAATTTGTTCCTGAGTTGCCCACCTTGTGAAGAAGAGAACCCGAATCCCCCAGATATGAAGAGAACTTCTCAGTTGGCTTCCAAATTTCACACACTTCTGGCTCTGATGATAGGACTTCTCACATGCCAGGTAATAAACAAAATTCAGATTTTTTAGTAGAAGAACTTCCCAAAAGAATCAGTGAAAGTTGACAGAATTAAGTCATGAAAAGAAAAAATAGAAGACAAAATATAGATCATTTCTTAGTCTGCTATCGTATTGTTATAAAAATAGGACATAAAATTGCCTTCAGGCTACGTGTGTTTGTTTATTTTGTTTGTTTTTGAGCATTTTTTGCACATAGGCTTGCCAGAGTGGTTCAGGATTTGAACATGGTTGGCCATGGGGGAGTCCAGTGCCTTACTCACCGTTCCACCTGCTAACTCCAATGTCTTTTTTTTTTTAATTTTATTTGTCGTTATTATTTTTTATTTTATTTTATCTTATTTTGAAGTTGACCAGAGGGAGACAGAGAGAAGGAAAGTGAGAAAGCAAGCTGCCAGGTACGAGACTCAAACCATGGTCAGCCAAGTGGGAGTTGAGCTGCCTTAGCCACCACCCCACCTGCCGGCCCCAACCAATGTCTTTGTTTTTTATCATCTCATATTATGAGTTAAGTATGTCTTATTTTAAATGCTTGGAACCAGAGTGTTTTGGTTTTCAGTTGGGGGAGTGGTGGAATATGTGCACATACATAATGAACCATCTTGTAGACAGGACCCAAGTCTAAACTTGAAATTAATTTATGTTTCATAAATACTCATAGCCCGCAGGACCAGCAGATGGTGTAAGGGTTATATCTCTGGACTTCCACCTAGTTGACCATGGTTCAAGTCCTGGACCTGACGGCTTAAAACTCATGCGAGGTGTGTGTGCATGCATGCCCAACATCCCGAGAGGAGAATGGAGGAGAAGGGATTGTGGCGTGGCCATCCTCCCTGGGGAGAGCTTTCCTGTCTCCTATATCTCTGTCTCTCTGGCAAGCACATATGTTCCATAACAAAAATCTCTCAAAAAAGAAAGAAAAGAAAAAGGACATCAAGTGTACCCCATCATTTAGTACCTCTGCATTTCAGAGCAGTAGTCTCAGACCCTGGGTCCTTGTGATTAGTGAACACATTAATGAGCTGTTTCCCTATTCTAAAAAATAACATTAGAGTGTGTGGGAGGAGAGGGTGCTGTCAAGGTTAGTACAATGAAAGATAAAGTTAGTGTCAGATGGGTTCAAATCCTGGCTTTTCCGTCTGGCGTTGTGACTTGACCAAATAATTTAACCTGGCTTGTCCTCGGTTTTCTCATCTTAGGGAAGGGAGATGATACTTGTGCTGCCCTGGGAGGTGATGAGCTCTCTACCTCATGAGAAAATGTGAGAGGTCTTTAAAAAGTTCATGCAGGGAACCAGCAGTTAGCGTAATGGCTATGTCGCTGGACTCCCACGTAGTCGACCGCGGTTCGTGTCCCGGACCCGGTGGCTTAAAACTCACGCCGGGCGCGTGTGCGTGCGTGCCCAAGATCCCGAGAGGAGAATGGAGGAGAAGGGATTGCGACGTGACCATCCCCCCTGGGGGGTGATTTCTTGCTTTCTGTCTCTGTGTCTCTCTCTGTCTGTCTGGCGAGTGCACGTGCCCTACAGTGAAAATCTCTCCAAAAAAGAAAAAAAAAAGTTCATGCAAAATGTATACTGGAAAAAAACAACTGTGCATGATTTCATATATTTTTTAACTTTCTTTATTTTTTAATTTGGCCAGAGAGGGACAAAGTGAGAGAGAGAAGGAGAAAGTGAGAAATAACCAGTTAGGCAGGGGAAGGAGGGCCATGTGAATATGTAGGCATGCATAGTTTTTAACACGAGTATTAGCTTCCCAAAAATTATACTAAAATAATCTACCCCAGAAACAATTGATATACAAGTATGAATCAATATGAAGTGTTTTTTTTTTGGGGGGGGAGAGGTTTTTGCTATAGGGCGCGTGCGCTCACCAGAAAGACAGAGACAGAGAGACAGAGAGATAGAGAGCGAGAAATCACCCCCCAGGGGGATGGCCACACCGCAATCCCTTCTCCTCCATTCTCCTCTCAGGATCTTGGGCAAGCACGCACACACGTCCAGTGTGAGTTTAAGCCACTGGGTTTGAGACTCGAACCGCGGTTGGCTACATGGGAGTTCAGCAACATAGCCATACGCTAACTGCTGGTCCCAATATGAAGTCTTTTCATACTGACCCTTTCTTAGGCATCTTGTGAAGAGCGATTCTTTTTTTTTTAGGTCTTTACCATAGGCACATGCACTTCACTGGAGAGAGACTGAGACAGAGAAAGGGAAAGACAGAAATTCCCCTCTGCAGGGATGGCCACACTGCAATCCTCCTTAATGCCCCCTTTGGGATTTTGGACATCCGTGCACATGTGCCCACCTTGAGTTTCTGGCTACCAGGTCTGGGGCTTGAACCGTGGTCAGTCATGTGGGAGTCTAGCACCTTAGCCACTTGTTGGCCCCAGGAGTGGTTGATTTTATGTCCTTTGTTTTTTTGGCCACTTACTTTGGGAGGGGAATTTATTTCAGTGGTGTTTTTCCTTCTTCCTTTCAGCTTTACTGAAAACCTTTTAACCTAGTTTCCCAAACTATTGCCCTTAGGATATCAACAATCCTGATGCCGAACATTTCAAAGAAAATGAGAAAGTCAGTGATATAATGCTGCAAAAATTGAAGAGCTTCCATCTTCAAAAGAAAAATTTAGATGAAGAGGTATTATATTCTGCATTCTAAAAATTGTATCATATCTAGTGAAAAAAAAATGAAAGAAAAGGGTGATACAGAAATAACTCCCAAAATTTGAATTCTTTCAACCATTGTTTTTGGGGATCAGATTAGCTTTATTATGCCCTCCATAGGGAGATATAATGTTCAACATTTGAGTCGTTGACTTGTTATAAAAACTTAGTATTGGAAAATCTTATTTAAAAAAAAATCATAAGGGTTATTTTCTCACTTTTGCCTGGCACTGATTCATAAAGAATAGTATTTTTTTTTAAAGTTTATTTATTTTCTCCATGAGCAAGAGAAATACAGAGGTGGAGAAGCACACTCAAAGGGTCCCCTTGCCTTGATGCCCCCCGGGCTCGGCTAGCCCCGGATCATGGGTACACACAAACCCAGCGTACTGAGGAAGGTCGCTGAATGTAAACCCAGAAGGTCCCCATGTGGGTCGGCCTTGCAGGGTGTGGCATTACTGCTCTGCCTGCCATCTAATCCCCCAGCACAGTGTATGTTGTCATGCCTCTACTGATTTCAAACTTTATCACTTGAAATAATGAATACATTGATGACAAATCATTTTATTTTCTATCTGAGAAAAGACTAAGGGCAGAGACTCCTGGTGCTATTTTGATTACAATTTAGTGTGGTGGAATATAGTCTGAGGAATAAAATTAATAGAGTAAGTTAAAAATGGTACCATTTTTCATCTGAAAGGAATAGGAAGGGCGTGAGTTATAAGCCGCTGGGTCCTGAACTAGAAATGTGGTCAACTATGCGGGAGTCCAGCGACATAACCATTTCACCATCTGCTGGTCCCTCATCCAAGTTTTTTTCTCTATTTTAAAGATGAGAAAATGTTCATAATAAAAAACATTATGTGCAGCACATTTCACCTCACTGATATTTAAAGAAGTTTGAATATTTAATGTTAAGATTTATTATTACAAGGTCAGGGAGGGGTTAAGGCACTGGACTCCCACATGGCTGACCACGGTTCAAGTCTGAGACCCAGACTTTCCCTCTCTCTTCCTCTAGCAAAATTAAAATAATAATAATAATGATAATGAATAAAATTAAATAGTATTTTTTTAAATAGTTATACCAAAGAAACAAATGAATGAGTAAATAATTATAATTTATATCCAAAGTTGAGTATTTTTATATCTTTAAAGAAGAACTTCATGGGCCAAAAATGGCACAGAGGTAGAACGTAACACCCTTCAAGGCTGACCACTGGGTTCGCGTCCAGAGAGTTCCCCGAGTACACTGGGCACATGTGCTCGATACCCAGGGCTGGCTGAAGCCGGGGGAGTTTGGGGGTTATGGCATGGGTACCCTGTGGGGGATGCTGTTTCTCTCTCTGTCTCACTCCCTGTCACTCTTGCATCTGGAAGAAGTAAATTAATAAACTTAAGAAGAGGAAGAAGAATTCTAATAGCCTCTGACAATAACCATGATAGAAAATTAGTACAAGATTTGTAGAGACTCCACAGTCTCGGTTTGATGATTGACTCAAGAACTCACAGGACTTCCATACACGTGTGCTCATAGCCATGATTTACCGCAGCCAAAGGATACAAAGCAAAGCGGGACCAGCAGTTAGCATAATGGCTATGTCACTGGACTCCCACATAGTGGACCGCGGTTCGAGTCCCAGACCCAGTGGCTTAAACTCACACTGGGTGCATGTGCGTCCATGCCCAAGATCCCGAGAGGAGAATGGAGGAGAAGGGATTGCGGTGTGACCATCCCCCCTGGGGGGGGTGATTTCTCGCCTTCTATCTCTCTGTCTCTCTGTCTGGCGAGCGCACGCACCCTATAGCAAAAATCTCTCAAAAAAAAAAAAAAAGAATACAAAGCAAAGCCAGCCAAGGAAAGGCACATGGGTGTGGGTGGAAGGGAATGAGACTTGGGCTTCTAAGGGCATCTGGGGAGGCTCACAGGACACGCTTCATCCCGCCAGCGAGGAGTCGTGAGCACGGGCTGATGTGTTGTCTCTCAGGGCTGCTCTTTCAGGACCCAGGGCCCAGGACTTGAACTGGCAGTGGTTGACATATGCACCCTCCGCCTAGCACATACCAATATTCCAGAACCCCCGATAGAAAGCAGGTGCCCAAGTTAAAGCACACACTTTGTTTTGCTTTATCTTTTTTTCTTTTTTTTTAAGAGATTTTTGCTATAGGGACTTGTGCTCACCAGAGAGACAGAGACAGAAAGCAAGAAATCACCCCTCCTGGGAGATGGCCATGCAGCAATTCCTTCTCCTCCGTTCTCTTTTCGGGACTTTGGGCACACATATACATGTGCTCAGTGTGAGTTTCAAGCCACCGGGTCCGGGACTCAAACTACAGGTGACTACATGAGAGTCCAGTGACGTAAGCATTACACTGTCTGCTGGTCCCAAACCATGCACTTTGGACAAATAAGTTAGGCACAGCAAGCCATTCGTATCAGAACGACAAAAGCCCTCCTGCACGCAGTTCAGGTCGCCAGATGCCAGTCGAGGAGCAGCCTTGCTAACAGACCCGCTAAGCCTGGCAGGCCTGGGCCTTCTGGGCAGACTCTTTTCCTCACAAGAGCTATAAAAGCAGTGTCTCTTTTTGGAGACCAGAGATTGGACTGTGCATGGTTTGATGATTATATTATAGATGATAAAGAATGTAATTTATATTTCCTTTCTATGAAATGTAAAATGCTCTTTTTTTTTTTTTAGTTACTAAAACATAAGGAGAGAATCGCAACCTTCAGAAAGTTAATTGCCAGTGAAAAAGCAGGTCAGGAGCCCATCCTTGAGGTGAGTGTAACATTTACTGTGTATTTCCTCTAACATTCAAAAAGGTCATTTCAATGATTTATTTTCTTTTGATACATTTGTTGAAGGCCTTCCATTTCTAACTTCTATAGTTCTGTGATTCCACCCACTGATGATCTCTTTGATCTTTAAATTAATGAAGTATTTATTGTTAAATGTTTGAAGGCACGTGAGAGTATTGAAAGTGAGCACAAATAGGGGTCAGCAGGTGGCGTGGTGGTTAAGGCGCTGGGTTACCACATGGCTGACCATGGTCTGAGTCCCAGATCCAGCGGCTTGTAAAAATACTCTGGGCACGTGTGTGTGTGTGTGTGTTGTGTGTGTGTGTGTGTGTGTGTGTGTGTGTGCACGCACCCAAAATTCCAAGAGGAGAATGAAGGAGAGTGATTGCAGTATGGCCACCTCTACCCCCTAAACCCGGGGGGAGGTGATTTCTCACTTTCCCTGTCTCTGTCTCTGGTGAGCACACACATGCCCTATGGCAAAAAATTTAAAAATAAATAAATAAATAAATATAAGGAAAAAGAAAGAAAGTGAGCGGAAATATATTTAATCTCAGGTCACAGATTTTGATTCAAGTGAAGTCAAGAATGTTGAAAATGTACCTATCTTATTGGGAGACAAACTGGATAAATACCACAGTCTGAACGAGGAGCTTGATTTCTTGGTAAGAAAGACATTCTGTTACCTTGCTATCATTTTATGCACACAATTTTACTAAAAAGTGTAAGAAATCATCAGCTTTGAAAAATCTCACTCATTAAAATGGTCACAGATGGCACTGTTCACCCACCATAAGTGGTATTATTCACTAACCAAAGTACAAAACGAAAGTTGCGTTTTTGAGTTTGGGAATTTTCAATATTGTCCCACGCTGGCTTCCATGTAGAGGAATCAGGTTTCTTTCTTTCAAAGTGGGGAAATGTAAGAACAGGCGCTGCTTTTCATAGTGGACAAAGCGCATTCATATTGTTGAATGTGCTGGGTAATAGCCGTACACAGCCATGACTAAGGGGTGTTTTGTCTAGGGACCAGCGGGTGGTGTAATGGTTACATCACTGGACTCCCACGTAGTCAACTGCGGTTTGAGTCCTGGACACAGTGGCTTTAAACTCACGCCAGGTGTGTGTGCGTGCGTGCCCAAAATCCTGAGAGGAAAATGGAAAATAGCATGTCTAGTTTACTTCAGATGGCATGTAATTATAAAGGCAGATAAGACAGGAGAAATTGAAAATATGATCTAGATAGCTTCAGAGCAGTTTAACAATCAGTTGGATTTCAATCTAATGGCAAAATATAAATCCAGTTGATTTTTTTTAATTATGTAATTTATTATTATTATTTTTTAATTTGCAAGAAAGTATGTTTACTCATCAGAGAGAGATAGAAAGTGGGAAAGCAAGCTGCCTGGTCCAGGACGTGAACCATGGTTGGCCATGTGCCAGTGCTTTAACCATGTGGGGACATGTGGCCAACTGTGGTTCAAGTCCCAAACCTGGTGACTTGAAACTCATGCCAGGTGCATGTGTGTGTGTGTGCCCAAAATCCTGAAAGGAATATGTAGGAGAAGAGATTGTGGCATGGCCATCCTCCTGGAGGCGGGGGGATTTCTCTCTCTCTGTCTCTCCAGCAAGTACACGTGCTCTATAGCAAAAATCTCTCTTAAAAAAAAATGTGAAAGTTGGGGTGTGGTGGTGCCTGCCCTATGGCAAAAAAAAGGTGAAAGTCATTTTTAGCATTGTTATTTAGTGGAAAATTTTCCATAGTTTTTCTTCTATAATGGCTTTAAAAATTAAGGTAGGGCCAGCAGGTGGCGTGGTAATGGCACTGGACTCCCACATGGCTTACCACGGTTCAAGTCCTGGATCTGGCTGCTTACTTTCTCACTTTCCCTCTCTCTCGCTCACTCTGTCCCTCTCTGGTCAAATCAAAATAAGTAAATAAATAAAGTTAAATAAAATAATTCTTTAGGGAGAAAAAAGGAAATTAAAGTAACTGCTAAGGGAACTTGCAAGTACCCTTTCTTGATCGTTTAATCCCACTTTTAAAAACATATTTTTAGTTTTTAATGATTTAGTTCAGAACTTGTAATACATTAAGCTGACCCTTTTTTTTTTTTTTGAGAGGTTTCTTTGCTATAGGGCGCATGCGCTCGCCAGACAGAGAGAGACAGAGAGACGGAAAGCGAGAAATCACCCCCAGGGCGGATGGCTACGCTGCAATCCCTTCTCCTCCATTCTCCTCTCGAGATCTTGGGCATGCACGCACACGTGCCCGGCGTGAGTTTTAAGCCACCGGGTCCGGGACGTGAACTGCAGTCGACTACGTGGGAGTCCAGTGACATAGCCACTACACTAACTGCTGGTCCCCTTAAGCTGACCCTTTTTAAAATATGCAGCAATTTATGCAAGGGAGAATATTTGTCAATCCTGAAAATGCAGCATCAGTCAAATCACTGCTTTACTTCGGACAGGATCAAATAGATCTACGCACTGGTTTTACACGTAAAGACAGCAGTGAAGGTCAGGGCTGACAAATACTGTCTGCACCAGTAGGTGTTTAGTTATTGGCAAAGCTGTCTTACAATATAAAGTAGGAGGAAAGATGAAAACTCACTACAATTTCTGCTCATCTGTTCAAACTGCAGTCTAACCAGGATATCTGACGATTTGTCTATGGTACAACTCAGTTTTTGAGAATACTGGAGTGGGGGCCAGCAGGGGGTGTGGCAGTGAAGGCACTGGACTCCCACACGGGTAACCACGGTTCAAGTCCCAAACCTGGTGGCTTGAAAATCACATTGGGTATACCTGTATGCGTGCCCCAAATCCCAGCATAGCTATCCCCCTGGGGCATGAGTTGTCACTTTCCTTCTCCCTGTCTCTCTCTGTCTTTCTTCGATGAGTACATGTGCCCTATGACAAAAACAAAAACAAAAACAAAAGCAAAAGCAAAAAAAAAAAAAAAAAAAAATAGGAGGGTCAGGCCAGGAGCCTGCCTAACTGCTATGGTGGAGCCAGAGAACAATCTGGCACCTCAGGCAGACCCAGAAGGAAGGGAGGAAGCAGCCACGTGTCGCCACAGAAGGCCCCCAACACCTCTCTGTTCATCAGGAATGTCATGGAGGCCATCAGAAAATCTAATGCCATCCGCAGTAGCAGGCAAGTCCCCACAGTCTGAACCCACCTGTCAGCTAGAGTCTCAGCCAGCAAGACAAAAGGCACCTAAAGTTCAGGCACCAAGGAGTGAAGAGGGAGAGTGGACACAGGTGTGGAGACCTGGAAGGGGGGGCAGCAGATGACGTAATGATTATGTCGCCGCATTCCTTTGTAGTTGACGCAGTTGGAGTCCCGGACCCAGCCACTTAAAATTCACAGCGGGCGTGTGGACGTGTGTGTGTGTGTGTGTGTGTGTGTGTGTGTGTGTGTGTGTGTGCCCAAAATCCCAAGAGGAGAATGGAGGAAATGGGATTGTGGCGTGGCCATCTCCCAGGGAATGATTTCTTGCTTTCTGTCTCTCTTCCTCTCCAGTGAGCACACACACCCTAAAGCAAAAAACTCTCAAAACAAAAAACAAACAAACAAACAAACAAACAAAACAGACGGGAAAGAGGGGAAGTTTTTATCAATCAGAAGAGGAAGCCAACATCTTTCAAAGGGTTGAAAGTCAGCTTTCCAACATTACTAATAGTTCCAGAGTCAAAGCCAAGTCTGATTGTGTTGGTTCTCCATCTCTTACAAACTCCATTTTGCAAGCCTTAAAGAGTAAAAGTCAAGGTTCAAGATCAAGTGATTTTAGGACCAGCAGTTAGCGTAATGGCTATGTCGCTGAACTCCCATGATGTCAACCGTGGTTCAAGTCCCAGACCCAGTGGCTTAAACTCACGCTGGGCATGTGTGCGTGTGTGCCCAAGATCCCGAGAGGAGAATGGAGGAGAAGGGACTGTGGTGTGGCCATCCCCCCCTGGGGAGTGATTTCTCGCTTTCTGTCTGTGTTTCTCTCTGTCTTTCTGGCGAGCGTACGCACCTTATAGCAGAAAAAAAAGAAAAAGAAAGAAAGATCAAGTGATATTGAAAAAAAAGGTTTCTGCATGCTGATAGTTACAATGAAAAGCCTGATGGATCCTCTGTCTGAAAGAAGGGATGTTCTTACGTCCTTAACAGCTAGTCCTATTTGAAGACGTTCGAGATACTGAAGATGCTCTTCATAACCCCAGTAGGTGTGTATGTGGCTGTCAAAAAAAAAAAAAAAAAATAGGAGGGTCAGGCCAGGAGCCTGCCTAACTGCTATGGTGGAGCCAGAGAACAATCTGGCACCTCAGGCAGACCCAGAAGGAAGGGAGGAAGCAGCCACGTGTCGCCACAGAAGGCCCCCAACACCTCTCTGTTCATCAGGAATGTCATGGAGGCCATCAGAAAATCTAATGCCATCCGCAGTAGCAGGCAAGTCCCCACAGTCTGAACCCACCTGTCAGCTAGAGTCTCAGCCAGCAAGACAAAAGGCACCTAAAGTTCAGGCACCAAGGAGTGAAGAGGGAGAGTGGACACAGGTGTGGAGACCTGGAAGGGGGGGCAGCAGATGACGTAATGATTATGTCGCCGCATTCCTTTGTAGTTGACGCAGTTGGAGTCCCGGACCCAGCCACTTAAAATTCACAGCGGGCGTGTGGACGTGTGTGTGTGTGTGTGTGTGTGTGTGTGTGTGTGTGTGTGTGTGCCCAAAATCCCAAGAGGAGAATGGAGGAAATGGGATTGTGGCGTGGCCATCTCCCAGGGAATGATTTCTTGCTTTCTGTCTCTCTTCCTCTCCAGTGAGCACACACACCCTAAAGCAAAAAACTCTCAAAACAAAAAACAAACAAACAAACAAACAAACAAAACAGACGGGAAAGAGGGGAAGTTTTTATCAATCAGAAGAGGAAGCCAACATCTTTCAAAGGGTTGAAAGTCAGCTTTCCAACATTACTAATAGTTCCAGAGTCAAAGCCAAGTCTGATTGTGTTGGTTCTCCATCTCTTACAAACTCCATTTTGCAAGCCTTAAAGAGTAAAAGTCAAGGTTCAAGATCAAGTGATTTTAGGACCAGCAGTTAGCGTAATGGCTATGTCGCTGAACTCCCATGATGTCAACCGTGGTTCAAGTCCCAGACCCAGTGGCTTAAACTCACGCTGGGCATGTGTGCGTGTGTGCCCAAGATCCCGAGAGGAGAATGGAGGAGAAGGGACTGTGGTGTGGCCATCCCCCCCTGGGGAGTGATTTCTCGCTTTCTGTCTGTGTTTCTCTCTGTCTTTCTGGCGAGCGTACGCACCTTATAGCAGAAAAAAAAGAAAAAGAAAGAAAGATCAAGTGATATTGAAAAAAAAGGTTTCTGCATGCTGATAGTTACAATGAAAAGCCTGATGGATCCTCTGTCTGAAAGAAGGGATGTTCTTACGTCCTTAACAGCTAGTCCTATTTGAAGACGTTCGAGATACTGAAGATGCTCTTCATAACCCCAGTAGGTGTGTATGTGGCTGTCAAACTGAAATACAGTTTGCACAAGGTAATTGCAAAACACCAGGACAATTAAAATCAAGAGTGTCATCTTTGTTCTCCAAGTGATCAAAGGAGATAAAGAAGCCCCAGCCAAAGGAGAACTCAAAATAGAAGTTTTTGATGGGGAAGAAATGGGCATTCTGACAGCCTTATAGAAGGGCCAGCAGTTGACCAGCAGATGGTGTAATGGTTACATTGCTGGATTTCCACATAGTTAACTGCAGTTCAAATCCTGGAACCAGTGGCTTGAGGCTCACACCAGGCCCATGTGTACGCATGCCCAAAACCCTGAGAGGAGAATGGAGAAGGGATTGCATGTGGCCATCTTCCTGTCTCTCTCTGTATCTCCAGAGAGGGCATCTGCCCAATAGCAAAAATCTTGCTAGAAAAAAGAAGGGCAGAATCCTACTTGGTCGACAGCACCGGTGGCTTGGAAAATCATGCTGGGAGGATGTGCATGCATGCCCCAAATCCCAAGTAGAAGATGCAGAAGGGATTGAGGGATGGCTTTCCCCTCTGGGGAGCAATTTCTCACTTTCCCTCCCTTTCTCTCTGTCTCTGGTAAGCACGCATGCCTTATAGCAAAACTAAACAAAAGTTTATAGAGAATGTCAATCTTTCCTAACAATATTCATGAGGATCAGATTTTATATGTGGGCATGGGTGTTTGTGTGTATATATGAATATGGATCAGAATATGTACAAGCCTAACATTTACTGTAATTATATAGAGTATGTGGTATTACCTTGGACCGAAGAGAGATCTTATTTTTGTCTTCAGTGGCTGTACAAATCAACTAGTTTGTCACTGTCAGAAAAAGAGAGAATATTGCAATAAAGTATATCTTTGTTCTCTTTCGCTCTTAGTATCCATACATAGTTTTTGTGGCAGTGTCCGGGTTAGTATTTTTACTGGTGTTTCTCCATAGATCTCGAAATTGGGAAATCTTCTAGAGTCAGAAGACGACCACTGCAACAAACTCATTGAAGAAAATGACAGTTATCAGAGACATGTAGGCAACCTAATAAATAAGGTACACATTTTCTTACAGAAATAGTCACCTTTAACAAATACTATGCCCTTGGAGCAGCAGTTGGTCCAGCAGCTACGTCGCTGGACTCCCACGTAGTCGACTGCTGTTCAAGTTCCGGACCCAGTGACTTAAACGCATGCCAGGTGCGTGTGCGTGCAAATCCAAGATCCCAAGAAGAGAATGGAGGAGAGGGGATTGCAGCATGGCCATCCCTCCTGGGGGGTGATTTCTCGCTTTCTGTCTCCCTGTTTCTGTCTTTCTGGCGACCACATGTGCCCTATAGCAAAAACCTCTCAAAAAAGAAAAAAAATATATTGTGCTAGGGGCCAGCAGGTGGCGTGGTGATTAAAGGTGCTGGATTCCCACATGGCCAAGTACAGTTTGAGTCCTGGATCTGGCAGCTTGCTTTCTCACTTTCCCTTTCTCTCTTTCTCTTTCTGGTCAAATTAAAAAATAATAACAAATGGAATTAGATAAAAAAATAAGTAATTCTTTAAAAAAATACTATGCCAGATATTGAAATAATAGAATTTTGGAACTAGAAGGATGATGTAGCACATTTATACTGATCCTCTGTACTTCATAATGGGATTATAGAGCACTCCCACTAGTCTTTTATCTGGAAGCTAGCAGAGAGTACTGTGTGTATCAATCCATTCTGCCGTAGATGGCTTAAAGTCCTAGCATTGTTACATCCTTCCCAGGGTAATTATAAATCTTGACAATTTCGTGTTCTAGTTTATCTTCATAAAACTGCATTAACTTTATCCAAATGAACTATAATCCTTAGCTGGTAATGTGTGCCGCCTAGGCGGACAACCCGATTATTGGTAATTCACAGCAGTTGTCCATTTTTGGCACCTCTCTTTTTCTGCGGGAATGCTAAGGATATTGTCATCCTCTTTCTATTCATATTTTCAATCTCAAAATGTAAGGCAGATGTGTTGTCTGTTATAAACCTTTCATTGATGGGCATTAAATCAATGAACTTCAGCTTGGTGGTTAAGGCACTGAACTCCCACATGACTGGCTGCAGTTTGAGTCCTGCATCTGGTGGCTTAATCACACTGGGTGCATGTGCGTGCATGCCCAAAATCCCAGGAGGACAGTGGAGGAGCAGGGACTGTGCTGTGGCCATCCTCACTTGGGGGGTGATTATTCATTTTCTCTCTGTCAGCATGGGTCTTCAGTGAGCACACACACCCTATGGCAAAAACCTAAAAAGAAAGGAAAAAAAAAAGAAAAGAAAAAGATAAAAATTTTACAATTTACCAAAGAATCATTTGTTTTTTTTTTTTTTTTTTTGAGAGGTTTTTGCTATAGGGCGCAGGCGCTTGCCAGACAGACAGAGACATAGAGACAGAAAGCGAGAAATCACCCCCCAGGGGGGATGGTCACGCCGCAGTCCCTTCTCCTCCATTCTCCTCTCGGGATCTGGGGCATGCATGCACATGCGCCTGGCGTGAGTTTTTAAGCCACCGGGTCCGGGACGCGAATCGCGGTCGACTACGTGGGAGTCCAGTGACATAGCCATTATGCTAACCGCTGGTTCCCAACCAAAGAATCATTTCTTTAACTTATTTTTTTCAAGGTTACATCATATGAAGAAATTATTGAATGTGCTAATCAAAGGCTTGAAATATCTCACTCTGAGATTGCACAGTAAGTGAAAAAGAAACTTGGTGATCCTTAATTTTGTGAACATGTACTAATATCTTATTTTGCTCTGTAGTTTCTAAGTTCATTTTACCAGACTCCCAAAGAGAGGAAAAATGTGCAGTTTTATAAATTAAGACCATCTTCCATTAATGTCACCAGTCTGTTTAATATCTGGACTATTTGAACAGACTCAGCCAACAAGATTTTCATCTTCCTTTCTCAGAGCACCAACTGATTTTAAGTAGTGCTGAAGGAATGGGTGGGAATCATACAAAAATGTTAGAGGATGTTATCTTAGAATTCAAATAAAATAACCTTGCAATGCTTAGAACTTATTCATATAAAGTTAGTGAGCTACTTGGGACCAGCAGATGGTGTAATGGTTATGGCACTGGATTCCACGTAGTCAACCATGGTTTGAGTTCCAGACCCAGTAGATTGAAACTCATGCCAGGCACATGTGTGCCTCAAATCCTGAGAGGAGGATGGAGGAGAAGAGATTGCAGTGTGGCCATCCCCACACCCCCACCCCGCCCCGGGAGCTGATTTTTCACTTTCTGTCTCTTTCTGTCTCTCCAGTGACGGCATGCACCCTATAGCAAAAATCTCTCTCTAAAAAAAAAAGGAAAAAAGAAAAGTATAAAATACTGCTAAGAGAAAAGTTTGGTTTTTAACATGTTACTCCCAGGACCCTACTCATCCAGCGGGATCAGCTGTGTTCACTGCGTCAACAAATGCAATGACATCTAGATGCCACTTTGCACATTTGCTACTGTCTTCTCCCCTTTACCGCTGCTGGAAACTCTAAAGGGAAAAATGGATCAAATAATCTGAATTCCTAGGAAAGAATCCCAAGTTCCCATATGGCAAGATAGATGGACGATAGATAGATAACTAAGCTACCTTTTGAATTTAGTTACTTAAATCGTCCAACGAATCTAAGAAAACAGGAGTCTAGCAAAGTTCATCTTAGTCATAAAATTCAATTGTTTCTTCCTTTAGTTTGGAAGACAGAAATAGGCATTTAGAAGATTTAATTAGAAAGCCCAGAGAGAGAGTCAGAAAACCAAGGTAAGTTGCTCTTTCTCTTTAAAAATAATTATATATTTAATAAACGTGTGTGCGTATATACTAATACATTATAAATTTTTTAAAAACTTTTTTGCTCACGTCAATTTAAAATAAGATAAATTATGTGGAAGTGCTTGGTATTTTCTCTAGCATAGAACAACAGCTGCTTGATAAGTGTTTTTTGTAGGATTCGAATTGGCAAGTCACGGTCCCTTTCCTCATGGAATGTACAATCACCTCTAAGGAAGATACTGTGAAGACTATAAGCTAAGATTTGTCTAGAACAGAAGTGCCTATCCTGCTATGTATTTTATGACCATATTTTCTTACACTAAGATTAAATCTTTTTTTTTTTTTTTTTTTTAGAGAGGTTTTTGCTATAGGGCGTGTGCACTCGCCAGACAGAAAGCAAGAAATCATCTCCCAGGGGAATGGCCACACCGCAATCCCTTCTCCTCCATTCTCCTCTTGGGATCCTGGGCACGCATGCACACGCACCCAGCATGAGTTTAAGCCACCAGGTCCGGGACTTGAACCGTGGTCAACTACATGGGAGTCCAGCAACACAGCCATTACGCTAACTGCTGGTTCCCACTAAGGTCAAATCTCATAATCTTGTTTTAGAAGAGTCTCAGTATCTGATGCTATAAGGTATATACACAAACCCTGTGGGGTAGACTGAGAACATAGTAGGATGTCAAAATGACACTCTCCCTGACCCTGTCCCTCATGTGCTACTAAATCAGTTCCCAATTCCCAAAGCGAGAGTGAGTTTTCCCCATGGGCACAGTTTCTGAAAGAAGTTACTTCGAATGAGTCATTCCATGACTCCTATCCTTTGGTCAGAACCAAGATATAAAAAGTGTGAAGTCGGGAAGATTAGAGAAGAGGTCTCTTTGAACCCATCATGTCATGAGCGCTCATCTCCTGCAAGTAATTCTGCATCTTTTTGAAGCCATATGAAGAGTTTCCAGCACATCATGTAGAAAGCTTTGGAACGTGTTGCTAGAAGTTGGTAGACAGAGGACCACAACACACTCACACCTAAGAAAACTAAAGCAAGCTATGGCAGTGTGACAAAGGGGGTGTGTCTTGGTGACTGCTCTCCCGAGCAGGTCAGGACAAAGAGAGGGTGTGATAATTCCTTCAGAACCACGCAGGTGAGAGTTGAATTATTTTTGGCTCTGCCAGTGGCACCAGAAAGAAGGCAGCATGAAGAAACTGGAAAAGAACACCAGATTCTGGGGACCAATGAAGTAGTATCTAGTGACCACCCAAAAGAGAGACGCATCAGCTAAGGTCAGGGGAACAGCAGGACAGAGGTCAGTAGCAACGGCCAACTCCAGTGAGAAAGAATTGCTACCCCTAAAGGGAAATCCATTGTCTGATGTGCAGTAATGCCAACCACCGTGCCACCCAGTCTTGAAGCAAGAAAGAGTTTCACTGCATGGCTCACCAGCAAAGAGGCAGGCTGAGAGGATGGCCACACCGCAATCCCTTCTCCTCCATTCTCCTCTCGGAATTTTGGACACCCAGGCACACGTAACTGTGTTCTAAGCTGCTGGGTCCAGGATTCAAACCATGGTCAACAACTCTTTCACGTCCTGGAATGATTTCCCCATTTCCTGGAATTGACTGCGTATTTTGTCTTCCATCTCATTGAGTTTTGTCACTATGAATGTTCAGAATTCTTTTTCTGACACTTCTGTGTACCCCTGTATGCTGTCCATTCTTGGTGAGGGGCTGGCATGCTCAACTGGGGGAGAGTTTTCTCCTCGTTTTCTCATGTTTCTTCTAGAGCTCTACTGGGTTTTGGTCATCTGATGCAGTATTCACTTTTTCCTATTTATTAGAGTAGATTTTAAACTATTGGAAGAGGGAATTTCACTTTTGATTCCAATGTGTTTTTCTGTTGGGGGGCTGTCTCCCGCAGACCAGAGGAGTTAAAGGTACTTTCAGGTGCTTGGCTCCTCGCCCAGACTTTCAGCTCTTGATGAGGTGGGAGCAAGCTAAGGAGGTAGGACTTAGTGAAGAGGATCAAGCACAGCACCTGGGCTGCAGTGCCACAAGCTCCGAAGTTAGTCCCATGGTCTGAGGGTGCACTCAGCTAGGAGCCCCATTGAGCCCTAATTTTTAATTTCAATTTCATTTTTTCTATCAGCTTTTGAAATCCCCTCATACTCGTTCACCATGTTTACTGTTTTATTTCTCTTTCTTCCCTTCCTCCCCTTTTTACAGTGTTTTCTTTCTATTTCCTACAGACCAAGAAGATTAGAAAGTCATCCAAAGTCCCTGACGGTGGTAGGTCATCTTGATGGTCATTACAAGGAATGTTATGTTTCCATGTAATTTGACAATAATACAGAATTGAATATGCGTTCTTGAAGTTGCACTTCAGTAATGTTCAGTGTTGCCTTCCCCTCTGTCCTCAGAATAGAGCCCCTTCTGCCTCCCATCAGAATTTACCCTGTCATTGAAAACACATCACTCTGGGACCAGCAGTTAGCATAATGGCTATGTCGCTGGACTCCCACGTAGTCGACCACGGTTCGAGTCCTGGACCTGGTGGTTTAAGCTCACGCCAGGCGCATGTGCGTGCACTCGCCAGACAGAGACACAGAAAGCGATAAATCACCCCCCAGGGGGGATGGTCATGCCACAATCCCTTCTCCTCCATTCTCCTCTCGGGATCTTGGGCACACACGCACACACACCCGGTGTGAGTTTAAGCCACCAGATCTAGGACTTAAACCGCAGTCGACTACATGGGAGTTCAGCAACATAGCCATTACATTAACTGCTGGTCCCTGGCCCTCAGTTCGTAATTACACAGTGCAGTAAGTCCCTTCATGAGTTATTTAGCTTCTTGCTTCTGTTCCTTTTTCTATATTCTGCCAGCTAGCAACCAAACCAAGGAAGATGAAACTCAATGAATCTGTGTCTCATAGTGTTCCTTGGTGGGAGAATGGTTGAAATAAATAAAAAAAACATTAGCTAAAATATAGGATTAGTATTATCTGTGGAGTTCACCTCTATATAGGCATTTCTTGCATCCCTCTGTAATACAAAACCAGCTGTCAGGCCAACCGATGGCCAGGTAGTTGAGTGAGCTGGATCCCCCATGGCTCACTGCCCTGTTCAAGCCCCAGATCCAGTGACGTGAGGACACTGGATATTGTGCATGCATGCCCCAAATCTCAAATGAGAAATGGAGGAGAAGGGATTGCTGCACGACCACGCCCAATGGAGGGTGGCTTCTCACTTTCCCTTTCTCCTTCTGTCTGTCTCCTGTAAGTGCACATGCCCTCCGGCAAAAAAAAAAAAAAAAAAGAAATTTGGAAGAAAGAGAAAGAAATGTCTATCTAGGAGCTCTGTTACTCCCTTTCTTCCCCCTAAACTTATGAAACATTTTTCCTTTCATCTTTAGATGCCAGATACTTAGATTAAACAAGACTGAAGATACAACATGAATCCTTCTTGTCAACCACTCCAGGAAGAGTCCTTCCTAAGTATATTATCTAAGTTATGCCATACAAATTATCTATTAAAGTCCATATAAACAGTAAAGTTTTATATTCCAAAAAATGTGATTACTTTTATTCTAATTTCTTCCTGTAAACAATAAAACATATTCTACTTTAATAGAAACAGATGAATACAGTGGCTTCTTTTCCAAATACTCCAGAATATCACTCTCATATTTTCAGGGCTTTAGTGACACATAAAAATAGTTGCGAATTTCATTTCAACTTTTCATTTCCCCTGCAGGACATCCTTTTCCTCTCTTGTCAGGCAGGCTTTTCCTACTACTAACCAAATTTTTAAAAAATCTAACTCTGAATTTTGGAATTAAGCCACAGATGAAAGAGGAGGACTGGCTTCTTAAGAACTAACCCTTTGGAACCAGCAGTTAGCGTAATGGTTATATCTCTGGACTCCCATGTAGTCCACCGTGGTTCAAGTCCCAGACCTTGGTGGCTTAAAACTCACTCCTGGGTGCGTGTGCATGCATGTCCAAGATCCCGAGAGAAGAACAGAGGAGAAGGGATTGCGGCATGGCCATCCTCCTGGGAGGGAGGGTGATCTCTTGCTTTCTGTCTCTCCGTCTCTGTCTCTGCAGCAAGCGCATGAGCCCTACAGCAAAAAATCTCTAAAATAAATAAATAAATAAATAAAAAAGAACTAACCCTTTTCATTGCCACCTTCACAAAGTTTTAAGGAATAAGTTCTGACTTTAAATAAAGGAGCCAGATACAGCTGATTTTGTGAGATGCACCGTAAAAAACAAATGTACTGAACATAAATACTGCCCCTTTGACAAACCCCAGAATCAGGAGGAAAGTAAATATTAAAATATACTTTAAGGGGCCCCATAGTGGCACGGCAGCCAAAAACCACACTCTGCTAGGCAATCCCACGTGGGAAAGTTCCTGATTCAAGTCTGGATATCTCCTTGAGTAAGCCAGGCACACACCTGCCCGTGTTTGGGGCTGGCTGAAGGCTGGGGTGGGGGTCCACTGCAATGTCAGTACCCTGTCGGGGGTCTCTCTCTCTCTCTCTGTTTCTCATGGAGGAAATAAATACATACGCTTTCACACACACACACACACACACACACACACACACACACACAGCCCTTGCGCAGAAGATAAAAAATTATTTTAGTGCAACCAAGTTCGTTTTATATGTTAGTTAGGTGTAAATATAAGAGGAAAATATATGAAGAGTATACATCTGGACCCAAAGAAAGTACTAGATACATAAAGCTATTCTTTTCATTGTTATTTTTGTTGAGGAATTCTGTTCACTTTGTTGAGATCTTATGTGATTCTTTTTTTTTTAAGAGAGATTTTTGCTTTAGGGTGCATGCACTTCTCAGAGAGACAAAAAGCAAGAAATTACCCCCGAGGGGGAATGGCCATGCCACCATCCCTTCTCATTCTCCTCCTGGAATTTTGGGCATGCACGCACACGCACCTGGCATGAGATTTAAGTCACTGGGCCCAAGACTTCAACTGTGGTTGACTACATGGGAGTCCAGTGATGTAATCATTACGCCATGTGCTGGTCCCTGATTTTTCTGGAACAAAGCACAGGCAGAGCACAGCAGAAGGGTGCCCCCTACCCCAGGCAGGATCCCTAGGGGCAGCAGCCACAGCTGCCTTGGAAGACGCTCCAGGGCAGTGAGACCTTAAGCAGAACAGCATGAAGACTGAAGCCAGCCAGGAACGGAGTCTGAACCACCTGCCCCATTCAATTGCTGCTTCTGCCATTTGCTAGCTTTTTGCAACCCTGGGTCAATTATTATTTTTTTTAATTTCAATTGATTTATTTGCATTCATTCACTGTACATTACAGCATACAAAATGAGATTTTTCTATCCAGAGTACACTGTATATTGTCTCAATCAAGCACATCAACATACATGTTATTGTCAACAAATAATTTTCCATTTCTTGTTTCCTGTATGTTTTGCTTTTTTTCCCCCATCCTTGATTCCCTCTTAGCCTCTGCCAGCCATTTCCCACTCTCCTTCCCCACTGTCTCTGGTATCTATGTTTGCTTTGTATACTGTATTCCCCCCACACACACACATTTTATGGAATTACTAAAGATCTTAATCAATCTAAATAATTTCATAGCAAACACAGCTGATATATACATTTCCATGAACAAAAGTCTAACTTTAGACATCCTATAAAGTAGCACCTACCTGGGGCTATATATCTTACTGCAGTCATCTAATACCTTTTTTTTCTGAAACTTTTTTTTCTAACTTTATTTACATTCTTTCCCAAAGAATCATCACAGCATACAAATTCCCCATCCAGAATATACTGCATAGTGACCTAAAAAAATATGGAACGCTTCATGAATTTGCATGTCATCTTTACACAGGGGCCATGCTAATCTTCTCTGTATCATTCCAATTTTAGTATATGTGCTGCCCGAAGCGAGCACCTGGGTAAATTATTAACCTCTCTGTGTCCGTTCCCCCCGCCCCCCCAGTGAATAATATCCAGTTCAGGGGCTGGCAGTTGGCATGGTGGTTGGGGTGCTGGACTCCCACATGACTGACTGTGGTTCAATTCCCGGACCTAGCAGCATGCTTTCTTACTTTCACTTTTTTTTTCTCTCTCTAGTCAAATTGAAAAATAAAGGGAACCAGCAGTTGGCGTAATGGCTATGTCGCTGGATTCCCACGTAGTCAACCACGGTTCGTGTCCTAGACCCGGTGGCTTAAAACTCACGCCAGGCACGTGTGCGTGCGTGCCCAAGATCCCGAGAGGAGAATGGAGAAGGCGTTGCGGCGTGACCAGCCCCGCTGGGGGGTGATTTTTCGGTTTCTGTCTCTATGTCTCTCTCTGTTTGGCGAGCGCACGCGCCCTATAGTGAAAAAAAAAAAAAAACCTCCAAATAAATAAATAAATAAATAATAACAAATAAAATTAGATAACTAATTCTTTTTAAAAAATCAAGCTCATAGGTACGTTTAGAAGATGAAATGAGTTCATACAGGAAAGCATACTTACAAGGCCCAGTGATTGACAACAGTAAGCACCTAATAAGTGCCAGTTTATTCGTTCCATCATCTGTTGTGACAGCTCACACTGGCCCAGTCCAGCACTTCAGGGTACTCAGATTAGCTGCAACAAAAACCAGATTATTGCAGCCATCCAAAGTCCAAAATAGATGAGAAACTGAGGCATAGGGCATTTCTGTACTCACTACATAGTTACGAATGTGTACTGCATGCCAGGTGCTAGTCTAGGTGATCTATAACTCTGGAAGGTCACATAAGAATTTCAGATTTGCCATTACTTAAACTAAGGAAGTGAGTATGCATGCATGCCCAGCGTCATTTCCAAGCAGGGGAGTCCGAGACTTGAACAGCCATTGTTCACGTGGTATCCACTGCCTTAACCTCCATGCCACCTGCTGGCCTGTATTTTTTCACTTTTTAAAAAGATATTATTTTGGAGGACCAGCAGTTAGCGTAATGGCTATGTCGGTTAGTGTAATAGCTATGTCGCTGGACTCCCATGTAGTCGACCACGGTTTGAGTCCCAGCACGCCAGGCACATGTGTGTGCATGCCCAAGATCCCGAGAGGAGAATGGAGGAGAAGGGATTGCGGCATGGCCATCCCCCCTGGGGGGTGATTTCTCGCTTTCTGTCTGTCTCTCTGGCGAGAGCACGCGCCGCGTAGCAAAAGCCGCTCCAAAAAAAGAAAATTATTTTTATTTAACTGCGCTCTTTCCCCAGTGGCTTTCATCTTTAAATGCCCCATAGAGGCAGTTCATATTCCGTAAGTCACAGCGATTTAAAACGACACAAACACCTTTCCGCCGCGTGCCTCACCTGGCCTGTCACTCAAAGTGACCGCGGAGAGCGCTCCTTAATCCAGAGGGCGGAGCGCGCGGCTCAGCGCCGGCCGCCGGGCACAATCCCACCCCGCGGCCCGAGCAGCCACGTCGGCGGCGTCCCAACGTCCGGGGAGGGGCGTGGCCAAGGCCCGTGCGTACGACGTGCCCCGCCCCCGGCGCCCGGAGCCCGGATGAAGAGTAACGCCATTACGCCGGAGCAGCGGAGAGTACTCGCGGACGGGCGCTGGGCGCTGGGCACCGGAGCGGCCGCGCCATGAGACTCCTCCCCCGCCTCCTGCTGCTTCTCTTGCTCGTGTTCCCCGCCGCCGTCTTGCTCCGAGGCGGCCCCGGAGGTGAGGCGGGGGCTGATCGGGAAGGAGTCGCCTACCGCGGCAGGTTGGAACTGCTTTCGGATGCCTCCCGCGCCGCGCCGCCCCGCCCGCTCGCGCTCTGGGCTGACGTGTCCCTCCCTGCACGCCGAGGCCGCCTTCATTCATTCGCAGGCTCCCTCGTTTCTGCACCCCTGAGTGTCGGAGCGCCTCTTTCTCGAGTCCTCGGCATGCTCGACTAGCACCCGGCCCCTGGGTTAACCTTAAGGGAGGCTTGATTTTGCAGAAACTCCCGGTCCTCACCCGGGTGGTCCGCCCCCGACTCCCAGGCCCGCTGAATCCCTGCGGGATGTCGCCCTTCCTTCTACCCACTTTTCCTCCTTCCTTTTCTTGTAGCCCTTTTTGTTTGTTCGTGGAATCATTGTACCGTGCCGGGAAAAAAAAAAAAGTCTCCTTTGAGGTTTAAGTTTTGCATAGAGGCTTGTTATTACCAGCGGTTGACCCTAGTTGGAAAGTAACTTAGCAGAACGGCAAAAGGTGGAAAGTTGGTTTCTTTGCCCTGGTTTTATCAGGCACTTGCAGTTTTCTGATGTGCCATGTAGATTTCGTCTGATTAAGTCATCACTAGAATTCCTTTTCGTTCTCGTTTTTTCGGGAAGCCATGTGGCATACTGAAGGGTAGTGGTGGGTATTCAGGAGTTAATTTTGCAAAGGAAAATGAAGTGTAGGCTTCCGTTTAGTGGGTAGAAAAACCAAGCTGGGGAGTTAACCAAAACCGTTAAAGAAAGTCACTTGTAGGTTGGAAGAGAGGTTCTTTTCCTTTGAGCTGCTTGCTGGTTCTTATTAAGCTTTTTAAAGACAAATAGGCCGTCCTCCTTGTTTGGGACTTTCAACTACATTTTTCAGGTTTTGAAAACGTTGTCTTTTTTTTTTTTTTTTTTTTTTTTTTTTTTAGAAAACCTCAAGTATCTAAACTGAACTGAATATCTCGTAAATATGATTTTGTAACTTTTTTTTTTTGAGAAAATGCCTTATCCCCTTTTCCAATGAAAAACCGTTCATCTTTAGGCATAAAGTGGTTGTTGATTAGCATTAAAATAGTAAACCGAACTGTTCACTGAAATGTAAGGCTGAAAGGCCGCTGCGTCTTTGAAAGTTCTCAAATTGAAGTACAGCTTTAAATTACATGTGTCAGGCCTGGGTATTTTTCTCCCTGGTTTTTGAAAGTGACTCGTAAGTTAAGAGTGGACAATTTTAGTTTTTTCCAGCAAGCATAGGAAGCTGTTTTTTGGTTCATGATGCATACTCCAGTGTTCTGTAATGTTTTGCAGTAATCGCAACAGCTGATAAGTAAGAGTTGAAGGATGTGGAAAAGACTTAAAATGCATGATCTTTATAGTATGTTTTTTCTGGATATTGCATATGCGGCCCTTCCCACTTTTTTTTTTTTTTTTTTTTTGCCCTACTGAATTGCCACATCATCATTCTTTCTGAGAAACGTCTGACGAGTTGCTGGAATTTGGAAATTCTTCTGAGAGTCTTGCCTGCAATAGATTTGAAGTGCCTTCGATAGAGTACTTCTCTCTCTGAAATCGTGATTTATATGAGTTCTTTGCATTACAGTTGCACTTAGCTTTCGCTTTGTGATATTAAATGAGAGGGGAATAAACATGTATCTGAAAGCAGATTTGCAGCGTGTACAAACAGGAGTTTCTTCTCTCCCAACTCTGAAGCTCTTCGTAGATTTCACGTAATAGAAAGTGTTTTGTGCAAGCTAGTTTTTGCCATGAAAATGAGAAAGATATTTTTGTCTTGAAATGACATGCTATCTGGTGGTTTCTTGCCTAGGAATTAAGAATGCTGTTTTTTCTAGACCTGAGGGTGTGTGTGTGTGTGTGTGTGTGTGTTTTATATAGCTAATGACAGGGATTAAATTTAGGAGTTTCTTTCCTTTGCAACAGACTTATTTTCATTCATTGTTTAATATAAAGTGACTTGAAAGTTCTGTATTTGGGCTCCATGGCATTTTTAGGTTTTTTTTTTTTTTTTTTTTTTTTTTTTTTTTTCCCGCTAAC